CGTTTTTAAAATTTCTCATCATACACTTGTACTATAGCACTAACGGTATAATATACCAAAGCTTGAAAGAAGTTCATCTTCTGCATCAAAAGTTATAAGCAGTCCGGCTGAGAAGTGTAGAAGGGTCATGTAATTAATTATAAACTTCGATGATCAAAAGTCTCGTTTGTAGTGATCATTTTCCAAGGACTAATTTTGGTGATCAAAACACATTTTTCCCAATAAGTAATAGTCATTTAAAAAAGTGATATTTAACGAAGTTTTTCAGCTGATAACTAGGGCAAATGGACACTATTAATAGGAAGAGATACATTATTCAAGGTTGGTAGGAATGAAATATAGGTAAGGTGCAGGATTTTTTAAAAAGCTGAAAATTTTAAAATCCTGAAAAAATGATCTGATTTTTAAAAACAAACGAAAAATCTCCGGTTTATTGTTCCTTGATAATTTTAAAAAGATTTTATTTGTATTATTCCACTGAATGTAAAAAATATAGTTTACTATAATTTTCGTTTGTTTTTAAAAATCAGGTCATTTTTTTCAGGATTTTAAAAATTTCCGTTTTTTAGACTTTTCGTCCTTTAAAAACCTTTTCAAAGGGTAAAACACACGTATTCTTACTCAGCTCGACGAGCTCTATCCAACCATGTATACATATCGCAAAAATAAATTGCACTGAAATTTTGAATTTTCCGCACCTTACCAATCTTCTTTTCTCTATATCGATCAAAATATAGCAATTGCTGTCGTCGTTATTTGTTTACATGCTAGTTTTATGGGTTTAATGTTGATATGTCTCTAATTTAACTTGAAATAAGAACGATTGAAGGTTTTCACGTTGATTAAAATAATGTTTGTAAATGTTACCAGACAATATGTTTAATGTCTTTTCATTACAACAAATTTGTTTCTTGTTATTGTTATTTTTGTAAACTTACTTTTGTTTTATCAGTTGACAAGGAGCAGCAAAACAAAAATGGTAAAACCATATGATAAAAAAAAGAAAAACACAATTAAGAATGAAGTCAAATCTATACGAAAATATTACATCTGTTCTATTAATAATATTATTGTAATAATCTAATTTTACTGTTCATTCTAATATATGTCTATTTCTTCTCACTTTTTCTTAATTTTTTCTTATCATCTATTAAAATACAATCGATCAATAACTAAGGAGTACTTACAATTTCTTTCTCATTTTCTTCAATTATACATAAAATAAAATTTTCGTCGAGTGTTCATAGTTTAAAAGTAAATATTGTAGTAAAAACTGTAAAAAGAACTATTCATTATTTTTGCTCTCTTTGTTTCGACATAACATATCTCGATTATATTTTTCTTTGGTTTCATTTCTCACACAGACAAAATCAGAAAATATATAATGCTATATTACATTATTTTGTCTGATTTTACATTGTAAAATAAAAGTTGGCTTTCGTTTTTTGAATTTGCACATACTCGTAACGAAAAAACCGTGCTTGTCACACATAGAGAAAATTGAACCTAAAAAATAATTTCAAAATCTAATTGTTTCCATTTTTTCATCAACAAATAACAAGTATGTAAATTTAAACATATTGCCTTAAGCAGTTTATTTTTTTGTTTGTAGGCGGTATATATGAGTAATGATTTCAAAAATATAGAAAGGGCATAAGGCAAAAAGTCAGAAAGATTAACTAAAATATTTTACCTATTAATAATATTAAGAGTATCCATCCTCTTTTTTCATCCTATTGGCAAGATTTAAATCAAAGATTCGATTGATTCCAAATTTTTACACACAAATACTTCGGTGTCTATTTCAGATTCTAAATTTATCGGAAAAATATACTTTTCTTGTCGAAATATACGAGAAATGATGAAAACCCTATGAAAACAGTAGAAATTTTTCAAAAGATTTACTACAGAATCTGTTCTATCTCTGATAGATTGCATCTTTGTTCTACCCTTCTTAACAGGATGAAAAAGAGACGAAAATATCCCTGATCTTTCGAAGCCGAATTGACCGAGAAAAAGACACAGAAAAAAATTTTTAAACTCCAGAAGCTGATGTGTATAAAATTCAGTAGAATCCGTATTATGTCCATAGATAGAGCTGACTCTTAGCTATCTACTGATGTAAAAATCTTCCTCAAATTCGTTAACGTTAATTAGTTCTAACCAGTTTCCAATGAATATGTTTAGAATTATTATAATTCCCCCATTTGGGGTAATTATGATAACTACAGCCAAAATAGCTGGGATGAAGTTAAACCATTTAGTTTCAACAGGAAACTTGGAGTAAACTGACTAAAAATTACACCATCTTGTAGAGAAATTTCTACTCTGTCTTCCATATGAATTGTCAGTTATTTGGACTTAATCTAAATTAGTTAATTAGAAATTACGAAAAGTAAACAGACGTAGTCATTGTTTTCATTTTTCTTCTTTGAGGTAATTATGATAGATAATAATACACTTGTTTTCCAAGGTATGATAATTCTAAACATATTCATTGAAAATTGATTAGAACTAATTAATACTAACGAATTTTAGGAAAAATTTTACATCAGTAGATAGCTAAGAGTCAACTCTATCTATCTGCATAATACGGATTTTCTTCGGTGAAAGATAATTTAAATATGTACAAAATATTTCAAAAGTTTTAAGCGATTATCAAAATTACCCCATGTGACTCTAGTAGTTTTACTTCAGAAACCCAAAACGAAACTTTATTAGAGTAGAAATTTTTGTATTTATTCTAGTTGGTCTACTTGTTAAGGATCTGCATCATATGAGATTTGAAGTTGAACTCGTATAAAAAAAGAAATTGTTGTTTTTCAAAAAATTTTAAGTAGTTAGAAAATAAAATGTTTTAATGATGTAGGTTATTTTTTTTTTTCTTTTTGTTATTTGAAATACAATATAGAGAAAAATTGATGTCAAATTTTTTTTATAGTCAATAATTTGTAATTTTTAAAAAGTAGGTTACTCTTGATTAATTGTTCTCTTCCAAAAATTTTAAGTAGTAATAAATAGCAAAGCTTTTCGTCATATTATTGTTGTTTGTCATTGAATGAAATATTTTAATATAGTAGTAACGCAAATATTAATGAGTAGACTAACAAATTAACGTTTAATAAAAATCAATATTTTTATTCTATTTTTTTTTTCTCTATTTCTTATTTCTTACGATTAAAGTAAAGTAGAATTCATATTTATCAAATTAATATTCAATATTTTAAGAAACTTTTTTTTTCTTTTCATTTAACTATATTTATTTTTCTCATCTATCTTTTGTTTCTCTTTTTCATTTTATGTATGTGTGTATGTACAATTCGAGAAGATCATTATCTATTTAATAGATTATACATGAATGAATAAATAGTTTTTTTTATAAAACTGCTAGAAAAATAAAAATTTTTAAAATTTAGAAGAAAATTAATTAAATGAAATAAATGTATGTCATTAAAAAGTTAGTGAATTTTTATTTATCGTATATAGAGAATACTGAGAAACTTGTGCTAAAGTTAAATGATGAGAAAATAAATATGTTTAAAGAAATATATTTTCATCGACTTCAGTACTCTTTAAATAATCAATTGTTCTATATCATTTTAGTTAGTCATAATCGATGACATCGTTTCATGAACAAATACCAAATGCATTTAATCAAAATAATGGTTTAAACTTATGGACACCAAATATCGATAGCAGTATTGATCGTTTAGCATTACAACGTGCAAAACATTTTGAATCACGCACATATACTACTACAAGATCAAAATCGATCACATCTAATGAAGATATATCAGACTGGAGTGAATCTGATCGCGAATGTGCACCATTAAGCGATTATGAGTCGAATGGACCCTATTTTAATGTTATCTCAGATAACTATAACAGTAACAGCAAGTCGTATATAGACGATGATACCGATGATCAAATTGAAGATGAAATACCTGTTGATATCAGTTTAGTAAAACAAGATGAAGATTATAAAGAAGCAGAAGAAGAAGAACAACAAGAAATATTGGAGAATGATGGACAAACAAATACAAATAATATGACATTCTCAACGGATAATAATGAAGAAATTAGCACTCTTAGTATCGTATCTCTTAATGTGCCAGTAACGAAAGAAGATGATAGTTGTAGAAAACTACCAATTAGAATTCAATCTACAACAACAAATAAAAAAATTCTCTCACAAATGAATCGTACATCAACAAGTGTCGACTTTTATGTGAAACGAAAATTGGAGAATAATCATAGTAATGAACGAAAATTAAGAACAAGAGAAAATGGATCTAATCGTTCAATAAGAACAGAATTAAAAACAGCGAACAGTGGTGTACATCATTCATCCATACGATCGAGCGTTTCTCTAACAAACTCTCAACTATTTGATTCTTCTGATCATCATTATAAAACAATGCTAAACAATCGTTTACAAAACAGACTATTAAATGAAAAACTAAATAATAACAGTAGTCGATTACTTAAGCGTGATATGAAATTTCAACGTACAAAAGAAACATCCACAATGTCACCGAATAGTTCATTTCAAAGTCAGGAAAAATTGGTGGATGATGTACGACAAGGACGAGCATCACCAAACTATAGTTTAAATTCAACAGTTATCGATTATTCCCGAGTACCAAGAGCGTATGAACTAAAAAAGTTATTTCCCGATACATACGATTGGGGACGTGTGACAAATCCAACAAAACGTGAACGAATATCGTGTAATCGACAAAAATGGGGTACGTTTTTCATTCTTCAACTTCATAGATAGAGACAATTTGGCCTCACTTCTGTAATATGAGGAATAATATATTTCTATTCTCTACCAAAAGCGAAGTATCTTTAGCTGGAAAAGTTTCCGTCAGTAAGTCCACCGCTACCGCTAACGGTAACTAAAAAACAGTCATTTTTTAACGCTAACTGTAATTTGAACGGGAAATGAAAAATAGTTAGCGTTAGATCGACGATAACCAAAACGAATAATTAACGTTAAACAAGAGAAACCATCAGTTAGTAATGTTTTAGTAAGTGATTTATTTATTCTTATTGGATTTATAGTCGTATGGGGACAGCCCCTAATCCCGACTCATCTGCTCCCTTCTCCTGGCCAAATACGAAGTTAGGCTCGCAGACTCGAGAAAAACCGCACAAAGTGGTCGCCCCGAAAGTCTTATCTTTTGCTTGTAATTGTACTACAACTTCAAATGTTTAACTCCTGTAATCGAACAAATCAGAACTGTAATCTTGTAATAACCAATAAAAAGTAATTAGGAGAGACGAACTAGTTTCGATTGAAACTTGAGAGCATCAATGTTTTACACCTAAAACTCTGATTCTAATTCTCTATTTCTAAAAACCAACTTTCAAGATTAGAGTCAACGAATTTAGGACATAAGTTTTGTCATGGGAACTTTGTAAAGAATAAGTTGAGAATTTAAGGGCTGAAGTTCGGCTTACAACAGCTATCAATGACACAATTTTCAGCTTTCGTCTAAACACACAAGTGCCTCTTGTAACAGTTACAGCTTATCTCAACAGAAAACATGTTTCACAAAATGACAGGACAAAAAGAACCCATAAATTTCTTTCACGGAACAAACGGGCTCGAAACAACATTTTTCACTCACAACTTCAGACTTACGAGACGAGACAAAAACTGGTGTGTTCGAGATCAGACTCAGAGCAACAAAATAGTTTGTCTCGTAGGGCTCCAGTTAGATTTCTCATAATCATAGTCTGACAATTATTAGAATGTATATACGTTTCTAGAAACAATTGTGTACATGAAGCCCCTATTGATTATGGTCCTCGATTCTTTAATTTCAACATGTTTGTATGACATTTTTAGCATATTTAAGAACGATGTTCCCAAAAAGTTACTAACTAATGTTAGTGTTAAATGAACGAAACTTGAACTTTTTCAGTCCTACAGTTGGAGTATTGCTTGTATACAATAATAATCCGCTGTATAAACAATATATATATTGTAGGCACAATTGTTCATCCACCATTTCCATTGGGATACCAACGAGCAACACATGAACAGGTGGTCGATGTCGTTGGACGATTGAATAGTCCCACGCGCTGTAAACATCCGCATAGACCATCACAATCACTATCAAAAAAATATTTATCCGTGGAAGAAACAGACGCCTTGGTATGTATCTAAATTAAATTGTTTCTTAAAATATTTGAGCATGCTCGAATTGATGTCTGTTTTCATTGTAGATCGATCGTTTAACCAAAGTAAAATCAATTCGCACAGACCAATATTATTCCAAGGGAAATAATGTAGGAAACGTGAAAAAAATTGGTGTTTTAAACTCTTACGCATGGAAATCTTATGGTATACCAACATAATCCTTGATCACAATTCTAGATTGATGAACTTTTTGGTAATCATCGTTATATTAAGCGCAAGCAATATTTATTAGGTTTCAATATGCTCAAGAAAGTGTTATACTAAAGCAATTTGTATTTATCAAATACTATGATTTACTGTGTTGACGAGTGTTTTCTTGTATTTTTATATACTAAACATAGACGATGAACTCAAGAAGCTTAAGCCTTATCTATTTTTGAGTTTAACATTTTGTTACAATACATGGTGTGATTCATAAATAGAATAAAGAATGAATTCTCTTGACTTGAACATTATTTGTCTCAGTTTTACATCAAAGAATGAACAGAAAAACGTTTTTTGGTGCTTTCTGTTGTATTGTTTTTTTCGATCATTTCTGTTTTTTATTAATTTATCTGTAATATAATTCGTATTCAAAACAAGATAGACTTTTATTCTACACGAGAGTTCGGTAAAAATCTGATGAATGAGAGGAAAAGAAAACATTTTGAGTCTCATCTATTTTCACAACGCTCCGTCGTCTATGGTAGTAAAGAATAATATGTAATGAATGTTTATCTCATTCACTTCTGCATCAGATGCTGTATAATCAGATTATCATCAGAAAACAATATACTGCAAAGTCGAAGAAAGCATATTATTGATAATTACATGCAAACCAAATACAAATTTGAATTGTCTTTTGCATACTATATCAATTTTTATACACTTTCTAGAATATTTATTGACGAATGTTAACCGGACAGTAGAAAACGCACGAAAAACAAAATTTACCTAAACAACAATTCGCCAAATGAACGCTGGGATACATTACATATATTTTTAATTTTTTTCTTGCACAGCTTCTGCCATAAATAATTTTGCGAGTTGTTGCGATGTAAATTTTGTAATATTCTCACATTGATTTTTAATTTGTGCCGAATTCAATAAAGCATTTCGTCGTGAATCCGCATGTAATTTTGTAATACGATCAAGTTCTTCATCCAATCCATCACTTCGTCGTGTTCGATCATTTTGACTACGTTTTGATTGATGACGTTGAAATTGTTTTTGATAATTATTAAAACGTTGTGCATGAGACCCAAATTCATCAACACAATCGATTAGTGAACGTAGTTGACGATCAATGTTACCACTATAGTAAAAAAATAATGAACAATCATTTTCATTATCTCTCTTAATTACAGAATACTCACCTGCTGCCAAGATCAAGAAACGTGTCATATTTAGAACTGAGTGGTGTTTGTTCATCAATTTCACATAATAATGAATTAACTAAATGTGAATTTCTAAAGACAACTGGTATCTCGTCCATCATATTGTCGTAGTTCAACTTTGCTTCTTTTACACTAAATAAACACCGGAAAATCAAATTGTTACATGAGCAGAATTATATATGTGTCGCTTACCTGTCTGGTGAGAAAACATCTTCACTCTTTAACTGTTCAATTGCAACTGGTGTTAGACGATAAGCTTTAACGCTAATGTATCCTTGTGTGGCTAATGCCTGATCTAGTTTTTTAAAATGAAATGATAGAGATGACTTCTTTCACTGATCAAAAAAGTCAATTTACCATAAACAAGTGCTATTGATTCTTCAACACCCGATTGTTGATAAACTATCATTGCTTGAACTAATGAACGATTAAAGCAACTATCATAAAAGCCCACTTGTAAATAATCGGAATTAACACGTCGTAAACTTCGAATGATATCTGCTTGAAATTGTTCAAGATCTAAGAACGTAAAGAAATCATTGTTAGTTTTAATCCTAACAATCACTTTTATATAACTACCTAAATCGATATTTTCTGGTTTATTTTGATTTGGAAACGGAAAACAGTTTGTTATTTCAAGTGTTTGTGTTGAATTATTCACAAGACCTAACAAACCACCTTGAGCAGCATCCGTTGTTTCTTCATGTGCATGTTTTATTATTTTCAAAATAACCTAAAAACATAAAAATAGTTTCATTATTAAGTGGAGAGAGAAGACAGTAACATACCATAGCATCAACATAAACTTCTTTAATGGGATTATTTACGGCCGACATAGACGATGACGTCAGTTTTGAAGAATAGGCCGCAGAGGATGCCATAAGCGAATCTAGAATATATTACAAAAACAAATCACATAGAGCAAACACCACAATATGCAGAGGCAGATAGCAACATAGAAAAAAATTTAGTTCTAATTATAACTGGTACACTATATCATACACTTAAAAAAAGTAACATTTATCTACGAAAGAGTCAATACTTTTCAAAGTGAATCACTTTCTTATTTTAATAATGATTTCAGAACAATGACTAAAACTGTTGTGTTGTTTGAAACTGTTTTCAAATGATCTATTTGATACTGTATCATCAGATCGAATTATAAACGCGTGGTACTTATGCCAATAATTCTTCATGTATGAATTGTTATTACTTAGTAGACCACCAGTAGCAATTGAATATAAACATCATGATGTAGTATCGTTGTTTCAATACCAACCGATTGAGACTGATTATTTCGTAAATACTTCAATGACAGTATGAAATTATAAAACAATAACAGAAAGATGCACAAAACACTCAAGTTCTGCAATTTGGCCTGACATCATCCAGAAGTTCAAATCAGCAAAACGTAATGCAAATATTTAGTCATGATCATAAACGAAAAACGACAACTACAATGGATTATCTAATTCTATATAAAATCGAAGTTGATAGGGAAATAGGTGTCAGTGAACGTGAAAGCCGAGCAAGACCTAAGAGAAACATTGAAAATGATACAATCTATAATATAATCGACATGTTTCCACGAAATCGATAACTCTTACAAAGTTCTACGAAATAAAACATACAATATCATTTCAATGTAGTAAAATGTCTTAGATTGTTGGGAAGAGTCGTACGACACCTGCTTTATTATTTCGTATATCTTTACACACAATAGATTCAGTTGAATTGAAGAATTTTCTACAGGTCTTTTTCAGAAATCAGAAAATTAGTTTTCTTTTTATCCAATCACATACAAAATAGTATGTAGACTTATTCTGTAATGTACAAAAGAATTCCTTCGGTGAAATTCATTAGATGAAAGTTTTGGATTTACACAAGAATCAAATAGGATATCATTTTCTGTTTTCATTTTTTTTCGGCTCTGCTACATGCACGGAAATATTCATCACGCTACACTATAGATTATGCTGTTTTTGTGAATATCTCGTTGCTTGTAGCAGAGCCAAAAAATTTTTTTCACTTCAATCTTTTTGTTATAGAACTGATGTATTGTTCTCACACAACTTTTAGTAAGTATTAAACCGATCGGGTATTTAAATCAAAGAAACAAAATACGCAAAGTCAAAAGTTATAATTAAAATTGAATTCTATTGCTTATATTATGAATCAGTTCAAACAGTTCCATCTTTTGTCTATTGAAAGGACTTGTTAATTACATACTTCTTTTACACTAAAACGTGAGAGAACCAAAAGATTTTGTTTATCTGAAACAGAATAATAAGTTGACAAAACAATGAAATCAAGAAACAAAAATTATTTAGTAAATTCATATAAAAATTGGGCAATGAAAAAACATCTGATAGGTCTCAGCACATTCTACCTTTGATTTCTGGTAAAATATGCACAAAGAGAAAACTTGTTATTCCTTTCTATTCGCAGCAATCGTAACACAGAGGCGATTGCGCTGTCATTGCTTCTATACAGCGACATCTACTATTGTACTTAAATGTCGTTGTATTAATTAACTGAAATTTTACTTGTATGTTTAATTTACTGTGAAAATTGTTTTAAACATATATTCATGCGGATATGTATTCCGCTTAATAACAGATATTATATGATTATACAGCCAAGCTATGCGATTACTATAGCCTTAGTCGTTTTGCGTTCGTCAGCATATTGTGAGGCTAAATACGTCGCAAAAGAACAGAAAATATTTGAACATGAATTTAACAAAAACGAGAACAATAAATGATACTGTGCATAACACAAATATCGTGTATAAAAAACAAAAAAAAGTGAATAATAGGCGAAAGTAGACACCGTAGAATATCATGAAACGTTGACGTTGATCGTCTGGAATAGAGTCTGACTTTTGTTTACTTGTGCTGTTGTTGTTTTATTCTCTACTCCATTTTTGATGAAACGTAACGACTAGTATTTTCTAATCCCTAGAAAAAGAAAAGATTTTTAAAAAGTCGCCCCGATTCCAAGGAAGTATTTTATTTTTTATCTTCCTCTTCATTTTCAGGATGCTTATTCTTGTTCTGCTTCTAGTCCTGCCTGTGACTCATCATTGGTTAATGATTCGATTTTTCATTTTCTAGTAGAAAATGTAAAACAAATTTGAATGGTATGAAATTCGCAAGTTTTTGTGCAGTGGCGTTGAAGTAATTTCGTTTCACCAAGCTCTCAACACGATTTTTGATAGTGTTGAACCAGAAGACCGTTCATACTGTTATTTGCATCTTTTTTAATTGGTATTCGAGTGTTGTTAATATCACATCCACTTGTGAACAAGTATAACGGCGCATCGAATAAGTATTGTTATGATTGCAATATTGGGTATGTTAAGTTTGTAATATTATATACACTAATATTTAAAGACGCTATTTGAAGAGGTGTTTTGGATTGTTATTGTATGATTATGTGAATATCCTGAATCTAAACTTTGGTTTGATCCAATTCGTGTGTTTTTCTTTTGACGTTGTTCTATTGACGGTAAAACAGATTTTTATTCAGTTTGTTGTTGATGTTTGTTCATTTTGTGTTTGGACTGTTTTATGTGAGTAAAAGGGGTATTGCTGACGGATTTTGGAACAGTTGTTGCATGACTTGGACCACATCCCATTTTTTCTGCAGAAATGGTGTTCGAGTTATTCGTCTTGTTGTAACTAATTGTTGTATTATATTAAACTATACTGTACATTGTTGTTAGTATTATTTTTCTTGATCTTATAATGAAGTTTTTCTTATATCCAACGATAGTATTTGTAACAGCAACAGAACAAAACAATCTTTTGGTCCTAGCGAGCAAATTAAGAATAAAAAAGGATCTTCAAATTCCATTTATTACACGAAAAAACTTCATTTTCCTGAGTTGTTTTCAAAATTTGAACTTGAATTTCTGTGATGGAGATAGACAAAAAACTTCGTAGTTGCAATAATAATGACTCTAATAATGACCACTTGCATAATATTTTGACTTTTCCCTAGCAGTCTAAGAACCAAGCTTTCCAAGTTATTTTGGAATAAGGAAGTCAGGAAGGTCCAGCCAAGAAATATTTTTGACTAATTACATCATTATTAGACTGAAATTTAATTTTATACACGAATATAGTAAATCAAACAAAAAATATTTTTAATGAGAACGCGTTTCATACAGAGCCGTAAATTTCGGGTGTGTGCGAGCGTGTACATCCCGGGCAAAAATAAAATGTGTCATTTCCTCTCAGTGAAAATTAAAAATGTTTTCTTACACGCTCCTACAGTTGACCTCCTGTTTACGGCTCCGGGTTTGCATAGTCTACCTCAAAAATTTCATGTTCAATAGAAAGCTTTTCCGATCAAAAACGGATGAGAACTAGCAAAAATACACTGAAAATTTCAAAAGATGACTCTTTTTATCCCAAGGTACTCTAGTTTACTTTCGTCATCGTTGGCAGTGGAGTACAGAACGAGGCTATTTTAACGTAACGAGTCGGATCCAGTCACTTCTGAGCACTGCACTGTCATGACTGTTTGAAATCGGTGCTCATTTTCACTGATATTACCTGAAAAAATATTGATAGTATTTATATTCCGGAATATGAAGATGGCATGTCATCAGCATCATCAATCAAGGAACTCGCTAATGAAGTGCACTATCAAGAATCTGATGTAAGTGATAATAATCTCCTCGAAATCCGTTCGCTTGAGCTATGCGTATAACACATTCTGTATTTTCTATGCTAATCTGGAATGGATCAATTTTTTGGAATCATACGATGAATATTTTTGGTAGTACTGGTGTTATTTTTGAAATTTTCGCGAAATAGCGCTCGTGCACACGACTAGGTTATATACCTCTCGTTATAACCAAAGACAGATGGTTTTCTATAATTTTACTCATCACGAAGTAAAGCAATAAATTTAGTAGATCAAAAAATCATTGTAGATCTCTTAACTGTCTAGATCAAATATCATTGTGACTACTAAAGATGTTGTAATCAGGATCAAGACATTAACTATTGCTGCTCACATTTCTACTACTTTTCATTCGATCCAGATGGTTTCTGTACTGCAATTGACTCTTATAAACAAAGTAACACAACTCCATATATTTTTACTGCAAAATCCTTAGTTTCATATAGAAATGTAATTCAACATAATCTTTATACTCTGCTGTAGGTTCAAATAAAGCTCTGAATTAACTATGTAATATCTACAACGTTAACTTATATTTATGACAAGATACTTTATTGAATACTTTTCTTTTTTAATACAAAAAAAGGAGTAGCACAGTTGATCTAAAAGAGCCAGATTAATTAGAGACTTCCTTGTTTATCATCGTCTAAAATATTCTTACACGGATTATCAGAATCTGAAGGTGAAAGGTTATTGCTCTTACATAAACGTTTCTGATTTATTTAAGAGAACAATAAGAACAAGAAAAAAGTTATAGTGAACAAAGTTTAGCGAACAGAAAATGAAAGAAAAAAAATAAGAAGACTAGCTAATGTACGTGAAAAAGTAAAAATCTTTTTTATTTATTTTTATTTTATCCTTTCACTATTCAATAATACGTGATATCAATTCTCATTGCTGGATCATCCATGAAAAACTAGACGAAAAAAATTGTTTACAACAAACCACGAATTATTTGCTCCTTTCAACAAAAATGTTTCAGTGAATTGCATTGGTTGGTCATTATCAGCCTGAAATAAACAATAGAACTCGTTAGAAGGATAAAACTAAAGTTTTCTACACAAAGATCTGAGATAAAAGGTCCGAATTCAAAATAATGTATTCGTAAGCAAAAGAAATTAAATTATACGAATGTAAACCGATGTTAATTGTAATTGACCTCGCAAGCAAATTAAACACTTTCTAAAAAGGTTCTTCTATTCTGTTCGAACAGAAACAAAACCCAAATGGTGTTTATCCATCTGAATTTTAGTTTGTGTAACTTACTCTCAACATTCCGGTGACAACAATCAATATGCCGTTATCATATGTTTGTTGAATATCTATTGTTGATACAGTATGATTTATTGTTGTAAATGTGTAACTACGGAGTCTTTCTGTTATTTCTGCCACACCAACAGCCGTTTTTGCACCATTAAAATCCATTCGACCAACCGATGGCTCCTAAAAACAAGCAAAAATAATCAACACTTCTTAAAACTAATATTTTAATTAGAGCCCTAGAGGTTATGATTTTTACAGATTCGGTTGTAGGGAGTAGCGTAGCCAAGTGAGAAGCCGAGGGGCACAGGTCCTTCCTTAGAAAGGTAACTTGCACTGAAAAGAATAGAATAACATATCAGCGAACAGCGACATGTGTCTGTCTATTCTTCTTTTTACTCTAATCCTTCCTAAAAATATGTTGGACCCCTTCCTTAAAAAAATCCTGGCTCTGCCACTGGTTGTAAGTTACGGTATTGATAACCTATTTTAATCTAAACGAAAGAAACCGATTTTGAACGATCACATTTAAATCGCCAACTTTGAGTGATAAATCGTAGTCTTATTCGATCAAATAACTGCCGCAAACAATATCAGATATTTCTCTCTTGGCACGAGCTGAGACTTTCTCACACTTTCGCTTAGCACTAATCGCACCAACATTTACGTGTGCTAGTCAAACGGATGTAATTCTGAAACTGTTTAAGTGGAACTTTATCGCTCAATCGCTAAAGTTCAGAATGAGGTTCTCTAGTTTAAACTGAAAAATCGCACAATCAAAAAAAGAAGCACAGAGATAGATGGCGAATGCACAACACTAACAAAAAATTGTAATGTCGTAACCTGCAGGGCTCTAATTTCAATCATTTCTGTAAACAAGAAAACTTCACTTACATATAGTGCTGCAACACTTTCTCGTGAACCAGTATCAAATGTTTGATAATAATGTTGAATAAACGCTTTTCCAACGTCTTTCACTTGTTCGTCCGTCATTTTCGGATTTATCAACACGTACAATCACGTAATATAAAAATAATCTAAAAAGAATGACTCTAGAGTTTTAAAAAGTAATTGAAGACAACTACATTCCATAACTAAAGATTTTCTGTTTCGTCATACACTCCTCTCAGCCATTGGACAATCCCGTGACCGTTCAACTGTTCTTTTGAGTTGAATGTGACTAAAAGCAACGATAGGTGCTCAAGACTCTAGAACAGTACAGAAACTCACAATTCTGACATTTATTATAGGTTCCAGATTAGATCGAAAACCGGACAGACTTATCAGATCTGTCATACTTGAACCGATAAAGCTTTAATTTCCTTAAAAAGTATTCGCAAATACATAATGGACAACAAGCGGAAACGAAGCACGGACGAAGTTTAACGCTTATTCACTGATGAAACAAGACATTAATCACATTGAAATAAAGCCAGAAATGACGAAGGAGAATGCTCTGATATGAGAGTTATTACTGAAATTGTGGTGCAATTATTTTTAGTGTCTCTTTGTTTAATCATTGCGCTTTTATTTATCCTAATCCTCCCTCCCTCTCTCTCTCTGCCAAAGGAACGATGTGAATAGTAAAATAACCGGCGAATATAAGTTTGCTAGTGGAAGTGGAGGCACTTGTCTATGTTTTCATTGGCCGATTGTCCAGGAGAGAAAGTAAAATTTAATCAAGTTTACATACATATATTATTGTATAGTATATAAACATGTATGTGCCAGACTCCCCAGAAAACTCATGACAAACCCGTAGTGATGTGAAGGACAATATTGACCAGTACACTTTTATGTTTATGGTTATTAGAAAGAATTGCTTTTTTTCTGTTATGACTCATCGTTCGAAAGAATCCTGCTCTGCTGTTCCAACCAGATTACTCTGCGATTGTGGCTCAATTCCTTTCTAACCAAAGTTTATTTTAAACTGTCTCTTCAGAATTCAAGATGCTGATTGGAATAATCTCTCAGAGTCAGTTATTCGTCTTTCTTCTTTAACATCTTTCAAAACAGCTTTATTTCAGTATCTCTTCCAGTAAAACATTTGTCAGTTAAGAATTTATAATTGTTCTTTTTTGCTTACTTTTTAAATTTTCTTTTACTACTTCTGGTTCCAACCTTAGTTGTCTTCTTTATTTTGTTCTTTTTTATTACTCTTTTGGCGTTGTTTGGCTTAAGTCATTGTTATTACAGATCGGTGACCTTTGATGACTCTTACTTTTCGTGAATAAAATCGTCTTAAGGATGTATCTACGAATGGTGTACGTCAAAATTTCAGACATGTTATTCGTTATTCTAGCCTTTTCTCGTGTCAAGCAGGATGATCCATATCAAGTGGAAATTAAAAGTCGACTTTCTTAGCGCCAGAACGAATGAGCTCTAACTTTGCAGAAAAATTTGTTTATTCTTCTAAATAATAATAATGTTTGAATAAAGCGTCGAGGTCGTTTCGTTTTCAAAACGCCAGCAGATAGATGGCACTGACGAAGACGATCGAGAGGAGACAGAGAGAGAACCAAGGATAAAACAGAAGGAAAGCAAAGCACAAAACAACACGAGAGAGGAAGGATTCTCGAAACGTTGCTTTCTGAAATCGATGTACCGACAGATACGTCATGTTGTAAAATCTACACTGTGATCTTGAAAGTGATTTCCGCTAGAAAATCCTTGACTTTCAAGAATCTTGAAAATCAAATTTCTAGAAAATCGACCCAATTTTCAAAAATCTCTTAAAAACCAATATTTTCTATAAAGTTAGAAAATCGGTGAGAATTTTCTATAAATTTGAAAATCCTCAGGGATTCTATAGTCAATTTGCTAGAAAATTGAAAATAATTCAAGATTACAGTGCATAAGGAATTGTTTTATAATCTAAATGATTTATTCTTAGATATGGGGTCGATTCCTTTTTTCGCACTATAAATTCGTTTGCGTTATGTTTAAGATTAAAATTTTGTTTTGTTATTATCATGTTTTCTTATTCATCTTCGAAGCCTGATGATATTTCCCAAGCTGAATTTCTTGCTCAAAAATTAAGTAAGTTTTTTTCATCTAAATAGAACTTTCACATATTCTCGTACACAGAATAGTTGCTTTTTATTTTAGCTGAACAAATAAATCGAAAACGTATTGAATTACAAGCATTGATTTCAAATAATAAAAGTTCGTTCTTTCTACTATTTGAATTTGAATATTTTCTGCTAGTGCTTCACCTCCTCTATCAGATATTTTGTTGTTCCTAAGTTGAGGTTGCGTGAGAGTGTTGTTCACTTTCAGTGTTTCTGCTAGTGCTTCACCTCCTCTATTCGATATTCTGCTGTCTCCAAGGTCAAGTCGAGTGAGAGTGTTGTTCACTTTCAGTGCTTCTGCTAGTGCTTCACCTCCTCTATCGGATATTTCGTTCTCTCCAAGATCGAGTTGAGTGAGAGTGTTGTTTACTTCTCCTAGTGCTTCACCTCTATCGGATATTTCGTTGTCTCCAAGATGAAGATGAGTGAGAGTGTTGTTTACTTTCAAATCGTTTGCAAGAATGTCAGTGGCTTGTTCAAAAGCATTTTGAGCCGTCTTGCCGTGTAACTTTATGGCCAGTTTTAGTGATGATAGTTCTGTTATAGCGGAGAAGTGCGGCACCGCAACTTTCATCGTTTGTTCTGGATAAGGAGCGAAGATTTAGCAATGTACACACATAAAAAACGCACACAAAAACAGGACAACTTCCTCAAAAACAAAAACACGCTGCCTCCGAAGCATAGTAGAGAACGACTTTTCTATCTTCTTGCACAGCCTCTCCCGATGTTTCACCTCTGTCGGATATTTTATTGCTGCAATTTTGCTGGATACTTGGCTTCATACAAGATCAAGTTGAATGAGAGTATTGTTTACTTTCAGTGCCTCTGCTAGTGCTTCACGTTCAAAAGCATTATGAGCTGTCTTGTCGTGTAATTTTATAGCCAGCCTTAGTGACGATAGTTATGTCATAGAGGAGAAGTGTGGCACTAGGACTTTGATCACTTGTTCTGTTTGGATGTTGAACAAGGATAAAGAGCGAAGATTTTTTAATGTGTTCTTGGCAAAGTGGGTGAATAACAAGTCAACGTCGTTGGAGGTCTCTGTAGACAGATGCAGAGAACGAACTTGTGCTGTTGATGGAAAGTGTTCGCAAATAAAGTCACATCTGGATTTGCTGATGCGTTGAAAGTTCAGATCAAACTGTATGCTGCCAAGTAGTTGATCGAAGCGATCGTTTAGTCGAATAAATGAGTGGAGAATATCATAAGCATGAAAATATTCAAAGATTTCAGGAATCGCTTCATTCGCAAGCGATTGAAATTGTGTCACATCTAAACAAATGTGCATTGTCGAGAGGTTGAATCCTTGGTCTCTCTTATATGAAGAGAGTCTCTGAAGTATAAGGAAGTGAGAATGGCAAGGCGGATACTCACTCTCGAAGATGAGTAGCAGTGTCACACTGAGTGATAGTTCTTCCGAGTATTAGGCACGGTTATATCCATCCCTAATTAGGCTATATATGGATGGATGGTCAGCCATTAGCATTTTACTATAGTCTTGACCATAGATATCATCTCTCTCTCTCCACTGTTCTCAACACATTGCAATCATTAGCTTTGTGTGTGCCGCACTGAATGTGGTTGAACAACACATGATCAACTTACCATTCTGTGCTTGCTTCAAACATTCATCGTTGCCACAAGTACTGAGCAAGCGGTTTGATAAGTGATGCTGCATCTCTCTTCAGGATATGACATCGACGTTTGTATTCATTCTGCTGTCAGTTGTAATCAGAGGATCGAATATATGCGATGTTTTTGCCAACATCAGAACGCAAAGAGAGATATTTAATCGTTTTTTTACATACGGATGCTTTTGGACATGTAAGATAACGACATTCAAGAGGTTAAGTGTTTGTATGATGATATCACTGCTTTGTGTTTTTCTTTGCGGTTGTCAAGACTCAACAGAAACGAAAATCGTTGTTTGAATTGTGACGTAACAGATAATGAGGCAACAGCTCTGACAGAGCATATCTTCTGTGCAGAGGGACATGCCTCATTTCTAACGTACAGAAAACGAATGTGATTCCGCGAAGAAGAGAATGTGGCTTCCCCTGGATCAAGATAGTCTTTGGGAAAAGTTAAGCGGATTTTGCCTCAGATTTTGATTTTGGGGAGTGTTTCGATCTCTTATGAATACTCAAAACAATTGAATACAAAACTTCAGCTCATCAATGTATGCTTCCAAATACCTTTAAAATTGCACGAAAGAAGCACAACAATAAGCACTGCATTTTGGATATTGCTATAGTATAGACTAATCATAAAAGTGTAATGAACGAACGGGGAACATATTGAGGTGTCTGACCGGTTTTTTATTTAGACAAACCTTCTATGGGATAGTTTTTAACGCTGAGTCGGAGCCCGATAACGTTTGGCCCATGAGCTTCCTATGGCTTGATTTTTCAGAAAAACAGTTTTCTAGAGACCAGTTTTTTTTATCGGATAAAAACTCTGATGCATCCCGTTTGTAGTGCAGGTCAAGTTGCGTATGCCATTAAACTTTTTCTGAAAAATCAAGTCATAGAAATCTCATGGGCCGAAATTGTTATCAGATTCAGATTCAGCGTTGAAATCTGCCTCAGAAAAGGTTTGTCGAAATGAAAAATCGATTTGACATCTAAATATGTTCCTTCGTAAGAGTTTTACAAGAGTTGTTTTATAATAAATTGCAACTGATAAACGCTACACTCCTATTACTTTCTATATACTGTCTATCAATGAGTACGCTTCTGGGCAATAAAAATCCCTAGTTTGAATAAAGTACAATTTTGACTGATTCAGAAATCTAAGGTAAAAAATTACTCTTTATGCAGTTGAGTGCATGACTTCTATTTTTAGCTTCTGTGCAACCTTATTTTCCTATCATGTTGTTAATAAGTCTTGTTTTTACGAGAATATAGTGAAGAAACAGAATAGCAGTAGTGACAAACTCATTTTCACTCTTCAATGCCAGCTTAAAACACGCAGTTACTGAAACAAAAAATTTTGTTATTCAGGAAAATTTCCAGTCCCTAGCAAAACTTGTATAGGAAACGCTTGTGCTTTGCTAGTTAAAAGTCTGTAACTTGATTGCTTAGCATTTTTGGCTGTGTATAGCTAATTCTTGAGGTCTGAATGACTAGACTTCTGAAGTGTGCATTTTGGTTTTGCTTAGATGGTTAGATTCGTCCCTAACAGAGCAAAACATCAATGAAAATGATCTTATTAAGATTTAAATATTATGCATTTTTCAATTTAAATCCAAAGTGGAGTAATTTCTGAATTCTTCTATTTGTTCTGCTATATATGCCTTTGGGTTTATTTTAGTGTGACGCTATGAGAATTAATCAGTTATATGAACAGAAGACAGTTAGACGATAATAAGGAAAGATATTTATTGTACAGAAGATACTCGCACAAAATGATTACAACAAAATTGTTCGTAATTTAATGAGTCATTGTTCTTCTTTTTTGTATTACTTGCAAATTCAAATTTATGCATTAAGTTCATTGCGTAATTTGAATGATTCATATCAAAACTGACGATGCTGTTTAAGCTTTACAACGTTTACACGATTCTTTATTGGGAACTGATAGTATAAGAAAATTAACGTCAACAGTCAATTCATCCAATTATGAAAAATACGGAATTATCTAAGATTATTAAAACTAAAACGTTTTATATCAAAATCATACAATTGATTTGTGTTAAAACATACTTCTTTAAATAAAATCTATATTCAACCAGAAAATTATGTTGTTACAGAATTTTTGAAAAAAATCAAAACCAAACAGGTAAAATAGATTTTCTCTTTTTAATTTTTCTATGTCATAAAAAGGGAAAAGATACCCGCTCATCTTTTTGTCATGTGGATGAGTTTCGGCACAACATATCCCTAAAAGAAAATTTAATATTTGCTGTACGACGATCCTACATGTATAAGAGTTTATTTACATTAGGTACAGAATAAAAGCAAACATATATCATCTTACAAACGTCTATGTCTGATCTATTCTGTAAGGCATAAGTTATATTTCATAGTTTAAAGTTATTTAGAGCAAGATTCATTGCGAAATTATTGTCAAATGTACTTTTAAAAATTAAATTGAATCTCGCAGATATTTTTCATAAAATTTGTTTGAATAAATGTTAGATACGATGCTAACAAATGATATTTATCTTCTTCGAACCAAAGTCATATTTTCTTGTCACTTTTGACCTCGTTCAACGCACAACCACTGAATAATGTACTCCATTTTCCATTTGTCGGTACTGTAAAATAAGATTACAAGTTTGGATTTCGTTATGGATAGCTGAACGAATGTTTGTAACAAAACCTAACAGTGTAATTTATTTTTCTCTACCGTTTAGCTAAATTAAAGTATTTTTATGCTTGAATAGATGACATCCTTTAGTATAAACATAGCGACAGTATTTTATGCTTTTGTTGCTGTTGTCGATATTGCATTTAGGATAAGTAAATCATTTCGTTTGTATCGATCTTGATAGAGCTTATGTCCACCGACGAGAAAGATGCTTGTAATAACGAGCATTGATCCGAGTAAAACTACCCAATTTGATTTCATGTTTGTCATTAAATTTTGTAGAATAATTGCAAATAAGATGTCTGAACTTTGAACAACAGTAACTATTGATGGATGTTCAAGTTTAATTGCTTTTTGAGTCATTAAAGAAGATCCCACTTGTACAAAACTAACGGTGGCGGCTACTGAAAATTGCCATGTAAACAATGGTTTTGGTCCGTCGTACATATGTAAAACAAAATGATTACGTATTTGATTTATGATCAATATAATTAATGTTACCGAAGAAAACTGAAATACGACAATACTTTGTTTAATTTTATATGTTAATAATTTTTTATTCAACACAATGCTCAATGATATTGATAAGGCACATAGTAGAGCGAGCCATAAACCTATCATACGTTTTAGTTTATCAATTTTGATGTTTTCAATATGAAAATTGGATGTGACATTATTTATCATTGTTGTTGAAATGTTACTTGGCACTTTTTTAAAAATGAACGTAGGTTGTGCAACGCATATTACGCCGGTAAGAGTTAAAATAATAGCTAAAATAGTGGGTATTGATATTTTTTCACGAAATATGATCATGGCAATAATAGCCGTCCAGATCACTTGTGTATAACGTACGGTTGTCAAGTCTGGTAATGCTATATAACGATAACTCAAATAAAATAGTATAAGACCACTTGCAGCTAATATTGCTCGTATAAATTGTAAAAATAATTGTTTTGGTGTACCATCAAATAACCGATAACGTTTAAGGACAATAAATATTATCAAAATTGTTTCTTGTAATATAAATCGAAAGAGTAGAGCAGCAAAAAAATCAACTTGTAAGTATTTGATAATAAATGTTGAACATGTAAACAAAAATGAGGCTGCTAATGCATAAAGTATGCCACTGAAACGTTTTAGAAATGTTGGCATTGATTTTAATTGACATTTGGTCGTTGATGTAGCTAAAAACAGTATTGAAGATGTGTGTTGTTTTAAATCAATTGTTTCGGGTGTATCATCGTTATCTTTTAACGATTCTTGAGTTCCAAACAATGGTTGTACTAATGGATCAATAGTCGTTGAATGATCATGATCAGGATTAGTTAATTTTAAATTTTGTGGCGTTTGTTCATGATGTTTTATCGAATCTTTAGATAGTTGTGTGACAAATAGTAACGGTTCTTGTTGTTGTTGATTGATTATTGATAACTTGTCATTTAATCCATCTTCATCACAGAATCCGTTCAATAGTACTTGCTCGTTGATTGTCATTTTCAAGTGTTCAAATCTTTTAAAAGCAAATTTATTAGTATTCATAATATAAGGGATGCAACAAGATTAAAAGTCTTGGAAGAGACTAACAGCGTCACTATGCATATGAAAGGACAAGGTTAACATTTCTTATAATAACATCAAATGTGAATAAGGACGAAATAAAAAAATTTCTTGTACTTTAAGGACGTTACATATACTTTTTCAACCATCATACCTTGGCATTAAAAAATTTTGTTAGTGATTTTTTGAGTAAATGTACTCTTGATCACCAACTTTGTCAGCATGAATCTCACATTTTTATTTCTCAACAAAGTATAATGTACAATACAAACATATTTATTGAAATATTAATGTTTATTGAAGACATTAGTTAACGAAATTTTTTTTGAAACTATACTAGTAGACTTTCAAGTCGCACAAACGAGAACAAAAAGAATTTCAACTCTTTCCTTAGTAATTTAATGGTAAGTGTCATCTACAAAGGAACAATTTTATCTCACGAACCGATCACTTTTTTTCTGAAAGAAGTTCAAGAAAGTGCACTTATTTCTTTTAAGGATAAAAAAATCGGGTATCAATTTTTTGATCATCAAAAAAAGATAATTTTAATCACCAAATTTTTCAGCATAAATCTCACATTTTTATTTCTCAGCAAAGTATACAACACAAACATATTCATTGGAATATTAACCAAATGAACAATACTTTTACAGTTTTATTTATGTCTATTTATAAATTTAAAGCTGTGCTAACTTTCTTGAGACGCTCTTTTGCTTTTCGTTTACCTAATGGTTGAATACGTGTTTTATTGCTAACTTGATGCAAGTTAAATAAAATTGCTACTCCAACAGACTGTTGCTGCACCAGAAAATCATTGAATGTAAGCCACTGAATGATGAATATCCAGCCAATGACATATTCAATGATTTTCTGGTGTGGCAACAATCCTATACCATTAGAATCATGTAGCTGTCCGATTGGTATGAAAGTATGTTCATGTAAACATTCTATTGGATTAGCAATGTATTTAACTTGCATCAAGTTAGCGATAAAACACGTATTCAACCATTAGGTAAACGAAAAGCAAAAGAGCGTCTCAAGAAAGTTAGCACAGCTTTAAAATTAT